GGACCTGCTCTTGCAGCCAACCCTTAACCATTATCACATTGTCGTAATGTTGCTTCTCTTTCTCTTTTCTGCAAATACTATAATGGACACTGCTTTAAAGAGCTAGCGTCTATTGTGCCTCTACTAAAATATATTCTTGTGTTACTCATCATTCAATTAAGTCTCATCCTTTTTCTCTGATTGTTCCTAAGTGCTCCAAAAATTATTATTCCTCTTGTTTTTTTCCCCGAACATCAGTACTTTGGAAGTCGCTTCCTTCATCATGCTTTACTGATTTATATAATTTGCAATCTTTCAAGTCGTCTGTCAATCGTTATCTTGCTCTACAATCTTCATCTTTTCTCTTCCAGTAACTTCCAACACCAATTAGTGGTTGCTTGCAGCATAGTTGGAAGCGAAGATGTTTAAAAAAAAAAGATAGAACCTTGTGGTACCCTTAAAGTTACTCAAAATGAAAAAATGTGTAGTCCTTCAAGAGTAACTTTAATACTACAGAAAGAAATGACTTAATAATCTCAAAAACTTTATATCAAGAAACTAGTAACAGAGTGAAGACTAATGATAGAATTGTTAGAGTGGTCAAAGTGTTTTCTTGTGTTTTTAAATACTGGAACCTCTTATTTAGCACTTTTTAATAGTTTAGCAAAAATTGAAAAAAGTTCTGGTAAACACTATTCTAGGACTATGATGGAAATCTTGTCTGAAACACAAACTGTAGAAGTGTTTAATTGAGAATCGATTTCAGTATTGCATGTTTGATGTTTACCATTGGGTTAATCTGTTTTACTGTCAGGAAGAGTATTGCCATTATATTCAAGAGTCAAATTAGAGTATAATTTCTTTGCAAATAACTATGCTTTATTCTGAGGAGAAGTAAAAAGATCAGACCTATGAATTAGAGAGTAAGTGTTAGACTTACTTTAGTTAATGACACTGTTAAAAACTAACCAGAAGTCTCTAGAACCTAACAAATGTTGAAAAATGTGGAGTAGAATGAGGCTTGAATTGAAAGAGAAGTAATAAAAGTTATCAAACTTTTATTCCAGAAGAAATAAAAGTTTCCAAACTTTTTTTTCCAGAAGGAATAAAAGCTTCTAAGATGCACTTTTTGGATACATATTATGGGTATAATCATATCTGTTTGCTATTTATTTAGATGCTGGCATACAATATCCTTTCATTGTTATATAAACTTTAGTATTTATATGGTATAGTCTTTGCCGAAAGAGAGGATGATTAGATGGATGTGTGGTGTGACTCTAGCAAGACAAGAAAAGGAGGCATAATTGTAGACAGATTAGAAAAATTGTTATATTGAACAACGTTTGTTAAAAAAGAGTAAAGTAATTTAGGTTTCAGTATGTAGAGAGGTAGCAGCTTCAGTAGAAAATGGTTGTGGTAAAAGTAATAAAATTTGAAGAGAGTTACTAACATATTGTATGAGTGAGCTTTAGTTAGGAAAAAAAATTGCTCTAGATTGTTTATATTATATATATGTATATATTAGATACAGCTTAAAAGAAGAAATCTGATAATGATGATAATGATGATGATAATCATCATCATGACAATGATGATGATGAATATCATTATCATGACAATGATGATGATTATCATCATCATCATGATAATGATGATGATCATCATCATTGTGACAATGATGATGATCATCATTATCATTTAGACCATAGCCTTTCTTTATTTATGCTGCTAATGATGATGATCATGATAATGATTATCATGATGATGATCATCATCATAATATTGATGATTATAATGATCATGTTGATCATAATGATGTTTATATATACATATATAAACAAAATAAAACATAAATTCTAAATTTTAAAAATATACTTTAGGATGTATAAAAGTTTATTTTATCAAACCCAGCCCTGGTCCTGGCCCCGGTCAAGTATCAACCCTAGTCACTTACTAAGTGTATCAGATGTAGAGTTTTAAATGCAGGAGATTGAGTTTCGGCATAAAGAAAGTCATCAGTTCTATTTAAAAAAAAGGGCTGAAGTAGGTAATTATAAAGTAGGTTTTATTTTGGAGAGACTGCGATACAGCATTTTTTTTCTTCTGTTTTTTTTTATTACTGTTAATTTAATGTTAGTGTTAGTTTTCTTGTTTGTTGAGGTAACTATAGTTCTTTAACGTAGCATTTTGTTTGGTAATGAATTGTGCAAGAATAAGTTAACTAAGCATATATCTTGTTTTTTTAGATCTGTCTTCTCTAATATTAAACAGTGATTGTCATTAAATGTATTTCATATATTTTGACTGTAAGTCAATGTTTATTTTTTAATAAAAATATTTGAAGTTGTTTACTTTAATGAAGCATCTTCTATATAATTTAATATAAGTTATAGTTATAATTTATGTTAATAACTTTTTTATTGCTGTTCATTATTTGATTGTGTTACTTCTATGGGTCTTCCAGTAGTTCAACCCTATCTAAATACAAAAAGGTTTAAAACTAAAATATAATCTATTCACAAATTTTACTACTCAAAAAATGCCACATATGACTAAAGTACAGCTATAAAAAAACATCTATAAGTTATACTTTCTATATAACCTATAACTTATGTTACTTATACTATATGTTAGCCTATAAGTTATTACCTAGTCTAGGAGCTAAAACAAGTTAAATAAGAATAATATAAATTATATTTGTTAAACATTATAACATATTTGTTATAAAGTTTAACAAATACTTTTTCAAGTGTAAAAAAATAATTTGTCATCACCTTGACATTATTTATTCTAATCTATGTAACTATAGTAACAATTGAATAGTAGTTAAATTAAAAATGAATCTAATTGATAAAACAAAAATGTGACCACTTTGGCTTCAACCAGGTGATAATGATTAAATTACAGTTAATTATAAAATTGAACTAATAAATAATGTTAAGTAAGTAATTATGAATTTTATCATTATTATTATTTTTTATTTAATTCTTTTGTTGTTGTTATTATTTTACATTTAACAATAAGATAATCAAGATTAAAACAAAAAAAAAATATTAAAAAAGAAATATACAAGTTTTAACTATATAAAAAATAGGAACACAGAGACTTAGAGAAGACCATCAGGTCTTGTCATTAAGAAGCCTCTATGCAAAACATTAACACATAAATTAATCTCCTAGAACCATTATGTTTCAAACCAGTTCAAACCTGTGCACATATAATATAGTCATACTAGACATCAAAAGGTTTCTAACATAGAAATAGAGTTTTTTTTTTACCACTCTTACCAGCACCAGGCCTTGTTTTAAATAAAAAATACTAAACACATGAGCCTTATGTAAATTTGACATCATAAAATTCTATTTATTTTTTTATTTTTTAAAGACATTAACTTTTTAATTTACTGCAATAATATTAATTACAGCAAAATGAGTTAAATATTTAACTTCTTTTTTTTATTATTACTATAAGGGAATGTTTATTTTCTTGATTTTTTTTATATTAAATAATTAAATTTAATATTACATTTAAAATGTTTGATGTTAACAAATTTCGTTCTTCTCTCAAAATTTGCATAAATGAACTAAAATTTTAAATTTTTGAATTTTTAAATGACTATATTACTTAAATTTCTAATTGCAGCTTTGCAACCACAAACGATTTTTTATTTAAAAAAAATTACTGAGTAACAAATAAAAAATGACATCCATTTACTTACTTTATTTATTAAAAGTTTATATTTTATTAATGATTTTGTTGTGAATGCAAAGATTATTTTTCCAAACATCATTTATTAAAGTTATATTGCTGTATACATTATTTATTAAAAATTATTGCTGGGGTTTAAGTTACGTTATAAAAACAAAGTTTAACTTGCTTTGTACAAATTTTTGATGCAGCCGTTTATTTAAAATTTAATTTTGAGTTAAAAAAAAATGTTTAGGAAGGAAAACTGAAAAAACAATTGCGATAAAAATGAGTCAATTTTTTTTAAGACTAAATAAAATTTAAGTATTAAACAATATTTAGTAATGTTTTTAAATAAATTTGACAGTTAAGTTAAACCCATGCATTATCTTTAATTTTCATAAACTTAAGTATATTTTTTTATCAGAATTAAATTATATTATTATGATCTTTGCTTCAAGCCTAAAGCATTAGCATTTTTCAAGCGAAAAAATCATTATAACAAATTATAAATAAATTTTTAATTTTATTTGAGTTTTTTTCGTAAGTGAATAGCGGCTATGTCTAATATAATTGTCATTCAAACTTTTGTAACAAATATTTTTACATAATAGTCATTCAAATGTTAATGTGGTTTTTTTAAAAATTGCTTACTGCTTACGTAAAATTGCTTGAGGGGTATGTAAATTGCTCTACGCGTAATGCTTTAAATTAAGGCTTGCATCACACAATATGGTTTTTAGAATCAACTTATGATTAGGATAAGGCGGTAGTGGTGTAGTGGTAGAGCGGTTGCTCCATAAGCGAGAGGTTCCGAGTTCAATCCCCACCACGTCCCTGGTAGTACCGCGCTCAACTCGTTTCTCTGCGCAGCAGCCTTGTTCGTCAAGGTTCGTGTTTCGGAGTTATAGAGTTGAGAGAGGGTTATATAACCACAAATAAGTAGCCTCCTTGTCTGTAGTGGCCTTCTTGGCCTTGAGGAGGTGAATTAACAAAAAAAATATATATCCTACATATAAAAATATAGGTTTTGGAGTCATAAAATTTATTTTTGAAATCAAAGAGTTTAAACCACTTTTACAGGTGTGCAACTTGCCAGCTACATGGTTTTTGGGGTAAATTTGTATGATATTGGCTTTTTAGATATTAAAATACAGGTTTGTTGGGCCAAAGAAATCATTTCTTGAATTAAAATTGAATTTTTACCACTCTAACTGATGCGCTACTAGCGCATCAGTTAGAGTGGTAAAAATTTAATTTTAATATTTACCACTCTAACTTTTTTTATTGCTTTTTTTTATTGCTAATTTTTTAATATTAAAAAATTAGCAATAACAGTTTTTAAATTTTAAAAACTGTTATTTTTTTAAATTCTAGGTGTAGTTTAATGTAGGTGTGCGATTTAACATTAGGTATGTGGCATAAAATTTTTAAATAGTTAAAATATTATACTGTTTTATAAATATTATAAAGATTTTGTTTTTAGCTCAGTTATATCTTCTACATTAGCAATAAATTTAAGAAAAAAAATTATTCAATAGTTTTAAATAAATTTTCTATAAATAGATTAACAGTTTCTCTATGCCATTATACACTATGGCTGTTGTAGATCAAACTGGAATGGGGCGACCTGTAGTGCAATCATTAGTTTACCGTGAAGACCAGTCACATCTACAGTTGCTAATTAGACATGCCAGTCAATGAACTAATATTGAAACTTTTTAAGATTATGTTTATGGTCGGTAAAGATTAAGCAGGACTCCAGTCAGTTTATTGGGACTCCAGTCAGTTTCCCCAAGAAAGAAAATATTTCTTTGTCACTTAGCTAAAGCTTTTATTTATCAAATTAAAAAGGGTAGACTGGCAACTAATGATCAGGAATTGTTGTTCAAAGTTTGCAATTAGAAAATTGTGCTTAATATTATTGTTTACCTTTCTCTATATTTAAAACATTTCTAAACTAAATTACTAATAATAAGTCACTTTAATGTATATATATTTTATTAGGCTACTCAGAAATTAATTTGTGGTAATCAGGCAGGATGCAATATTATTTTTTACCTTTCACTATATTTAAAACATTTCTAAACTAAATTACTAATAATAAGTCACTTTAATGTATATATATTTTATTTGGCTACTCAGAAATTAATTTGTGGTAATCAGGCAGGATGCAATGAAACTTTGTTATACATCAAAGAAAATTTCCCAACATTCTGTATATCTTCAAGAAAACTGGCTGACTATACCAGAAATGTTCATTGGTCATCATAGAAAAGGTCTGATGTATTTTGAAAATCATATCAATAACAGACTTGATAGGTACTTATTAATATTACATTCCTAAAATAAACCATTTTTTGCGTCAAACATATCCATAAATTTTATTACTTAACCAAAGACTTCAAATTATAAATTCATTATGTATTTGTTTGTTAATTATTTTATATTCATTTATGTTTAATTTATAGCTACTTATTTGATTAGGTATCAGATATTAGAACTCTTAAAGATGTTGGTCTTTTGTCATCCATGTCACCTGGGAATGTTGTAGATAAAGTTCTTAAGGTTAATCTTGTGCAATAGCAAAATCTTAAGATGCTGACTTTGTTGACTGTTGACTGCTGACTTTGACCAACAACTTATAGTTAACAATGAACTTCCAGAGCTCCTGAAATATTATTTGCGCCGCGTATCTTCTTTTATTCTTCATCACCTCATGGAACAGTATGAGGATAGCCTAAAATCTGACTATCTGAGGTAAGTAATTTTTCATTAAATCTACTTATATTACTTTTACTTTAAGTAATATAAAATTGACAGGAAAACATTGTTATGATTACCTGTAATTTTACTGGTAAATATTGAAAAATTACTAGTTAGAAAATAACATTGTAAATTGAACACTGATTAGATAATATATTAGAAGATTAATCTCTGCAAAAAAAATAATTTTTATCATTTGTTTTTGAGTTGATTTCAGATAGCCAAATATAGAGCCAGTGCTTTTATTTGTCCAGGCATGCTGCAATGCGGTGTTACGGCAGCTTTTTTTCATTGCAATTTTTTTGGTCTTATTTTTTTTTGTTGACCTTAGTTTATTTTTGAAATCTTCTAATTCAAAATATCATATTTTAGTACAATGATTTCTGACACCTTTTTTTTTAAAAAAAAAATACTGTATAGAACTATTGTTTACATTTAAATATGTCTACTATAAATGATTTGCAAATAAATAAAAATAATAATATTATTAAGAGCACCTTGTATTCACCTGCATATTTCATGAACCCATTACTTATTACTCTAAACAGTATAGAGACTCGTTTCCTACACACTCCTCTTGGCCACTTTCCAGTATCATTGATTTGCTCTTTCTTGACTTTAAAATGCATAACTTTTGTCTTATTCATGTTTGTCGTAAGCCCTTTTTCTTCCATTCCATCTTTTCAACACTGAAATCTTAGCATTAATTCTTCTTCCATCTCTGCAATAAAGCATAAACTATCTGAATAGCATCATCATAGAATAGCTATTTTGACATTTTCATACGTAGGTGTGATAACTGTTATCAGCCATACTTTAACATTTCAAAGCTCACCACACTGCCTCTCTTGTTACTTGGTCAAAATCTTAAGGTAAATAATTTTTAATCACAATTTTTTTTTCGAATTATTTTTTTAAACTCTTAAACTTAAACCTTACAATAAATATTGCATCTGTCATTCCTTTTCCATGCCTAAAACCCAGCTGTGTTTTATTGATAAATACACATTTTATTTTGTTATTTTTTTTTTTACCAGGTAAGGAACATTTTTTTTATAAAATGTTCCTTACCTGGTTAACCAATTAATTCCTCAATATGAACCACATTCTAATGAATTTTCTTTTATAAATCTTTGCCATCAACATGCATAATTGGATTGCAAAGTTTTTTTTTTTAATTAAATCCGAAACACCTATATTACTATTATAGCTATATATTATTATATATTTCCAATCAGTTTTTACTGTGACACTGTCAAACAGGAAAAAGTCTTGTTAGTGCTTACTGTCAAGAAATCCATGATCTGGAAACAAAGTTTTTGTAATATATGAGTTAAAAGCTAATCATTTTTAACTTGATTTTCAATAGGTTATCAAACTTGTTATTAATATAAAAAAAAAAATTTGTACAGCAGTTTCCATAAAATAGTCTGAAGATTGAATACATATATTATGTTAGCTACTATTTCTAGATATTTTTGCATTAATACATAGTTGACTTTTTAATAATTGTTAATATTAAAAAATCCCATGTTTAAGATAAAAAATCAAGTATTATTAACACTACAGGTATAGGGTTAAGTAACACAAAAAATAAAAAATACTTTTAAAAAATTACTTCTCCAAACAGCTTATTGTATAATTTTGTTACAACTTGTATATAATCTAATTATTTTATGGTGTTTTAGGATGAAAATTCAGTTATTGTAATCCATTGTCAATCAACTTTTTTAATAAAATTGACTGGACTCGTGTCTGTGATGCTGCATCAGGGTTTGGAGTGTCATGTGCACATGTTCTTTTTGCTTTAAGAACTAAGAATGTTACTGTCAATGATCTGGATCTAATTCATAAAAGATAACCTTATGTAATCTAATACATTTTTGCAAAACGTGCAAACTTGTTTTTAGCTGTGTGCTTTCCAAGATTTCTGTATGTATTTATTATGGATACAACTATATATTTGTAACAATAACAAACATTTAAACGAATGTAAGTGTATACTTTTTTCATACAAAAGTGTGAGAAAAACAAACGTCTGATAAATAAATATTTAAAGTATATTATTTGAACAATAACTTTCCCTATTATTTCATTATATAGATTTATTAGTTGATTTAAGTTTTAACTGCTTATTATTATAAAGTTCAATTGATTGTTAGTTATCAATTGGTTTGAATAATTTTATTAGTTATTACTGTTGTTGTTGTTTTTTAATTTTGGTATTTTATAACATTTAGTATAAGTTATACGATTCAGATAATTTTACACAGCATTTTGAGGTATACTAGGAAAACGTTTTCTTTTCAACAATAATAACAAGTACTTAATAACAAACATTTTATTTTATTTATTTTTTTAAATTGAATTTAACTGTATTTTTAAAGTTACTTATTCAAAAATTCTTTATTATTACAGAGAAAAAAGATAATTAAAATAATTGAAGAGTAATTCTATTGTGTACACTGAAATGCCACTTTCAAATCAATACACTTTTTTTTATTTTTCAAACTTTTTAAATACAATAAATGTCGTAGAATGTATACCATACCCTCTTGTTTATGTTAGCTTCATCTGTTTGTTATTTCTTTAAACCCAGCTCAAGTTTATAGTGATTACACATTTTCCATTTAAGCAGTTATTATACCCCACATTGATACTGTTATTATAAGGAGAAGTCGTGATGAAATTGCTTACTCATGAAATGAGTTGATCATTACTATCGTAATGAAGTGAAGGAATATATACTTTGTTGCAATTAAAAAACTAAATTCAATTTTTTAAAAGTTGTCAAACATTTTATCTGGATTTAACTTGGATCTGTCCTTGCAATTAAATTAATTTAAATTCTTAGTTAGATTACCCATGATTCAGTGGCAAACCAGGTAAGTTTAAAATCATCATCGCATTTTACTTCCAGTATAGCATTATAGCCTATCATTTGTGCCACATCCAAGCATAGATTTACTACAGCTATGAATTGTCTACAACCAATAGCCTTTTTGCTCTCTAAAATGCCACCCAAAAATTTTGAACTTGCGATTAACTGGTTAGAATTATAATGTTATTATAATATTCATAAACAATGCATTTTTGTTGAATGGGAACTTATGGTATGTCAATGGATCATATTTATTTTTAGCTTTCAAATAATCAAAGAACTATATGAAAAAACTATTCACTTTATTCAAGTTTCAAAGTGATCCAGTCCTAAAAGATTTTTCATTTACAGAAAATCAATCAAATGAAATCACAGAAATTCAGTCAACTTCAAGTGCAAATGAAATTACAAAAATTCAGTCAACTGCAAGTGATCCTATTTTGACCTCACTTGAATGCAGACATAATAAAAATGTGTAACAGTCTTTCAAGAGATTTAGTTTTGAGACAAACCCAACGGAATCCATCAGGTAATGTAGCTACAAACAGAGACAGTTTAATAGAAAAAACAAAACCATTTGAAAAATTAGGTTCTTATGAAAAAGATTACACTCGTTGTCTTGGTTGGTTTGTAGAAAGAGCTATTGTCCAGAAAGTTTTGCATTGAAGTGCAAATGTCACCGCACACCAATTTTTACCACACTTATCAAATCCGATTACAGATAAAAGAGTCTTTATGAAAACAGTATTTTAAGGATGCTGCATGGGTTTAAGTCAACAAACAGTGTGAAGCTGGCCATGTCAAGTATGCGTAAAGACCAATGCTTAGATTGGTCTCATGTTTGTTTAGGAATATCTTCCAAATCTAAAGGATATTGGTTTTGCGCACAATGTAAGGTAAGAAATAATCGGATTTAGGATAGTTTACTAGCATAAATTGTTTTTGTTTTTAGTACCTATTTGTTTAACAGCAGATTATTTATTTATATTCATATTATTGGTTAATATATTACAAAGAACATATTAATTAGCGGCATATTTATTTAAATGGTGTCTCGATCTTGAGAGTTTACCTGATAATTAAAGATTTTGTAAAAGCCCTTAAGTGCTTCTTCCAAGCATCTCTCATTTGAGTCTAGCCTAAACATTTGATCTTTAACTTGAATTTTACATAGAATCTTTTATTATCTACTATTTCTTATTTGTAGCTACAGTTTCATTTTTTTGTTTAAATTGATTTTCGTTTTGTTTATTTGGAAACTATATTTTTTCAATTAGAATTTTGAATTTGAAGTTACCTTTTAAAATTTTGATTTGAAGCTAGGTTTTAAAATTTTTAAGATATTTGAATTTTGATATAAATTTTAAAATTGTCAAGTTTGTTTTATGTTGAAAAATTTGTTATTCTTTTTGCATTTTTTGTATTTATTAAGTTCTATATACAAGTATATATATATATTATATATATATATATATATATATATATATATATATATATATATATATATATATATATATATATATATATATATATATTTATATATATATATATATATATATATATATATATATATATATATATATATATATATATATATATATATATATATATAGTAGAAGTAGTAGCGTAGTAAGTAACAGGGTTTATATGGTCAGGGAAAGTCAGGGGTAAAAATGTCTTTTTCAAAAGAGGCAGGGAAAGTTAGGAAAGTCTTTTGTGGTCAGGGAAAACAATTTGTTTTTTTCTTATAAAGTCAGAAAACAATACAACATTTTAAATTCAAAAAAAAAAATTATTTTAAAATATTAAATTTAATAATTTTAAATGTAAGTTATTTTATGGACTGTTTAATACTTTAATTTTTGAAGTTTTCTATTTTCTTAAAATTTAATAATCTACTATCTAATGTTCATCATAGTTTTTTTGTCAATTGCTTTCAAATTACTATTTTAAATAGTTTTAAAACTTTATTATATTCTTAAATATTGCCTCTTATATTTGATATTTATCTCAATTTTATAGAGATTTCACATTTTTAATATTTTTTTTGTATCTAAAATTATTTTAAAAATTATATTTTTGTTTTTATTTTTATCTCTTATTCTATTTTATATGACCCTGATTGATAGAACATAAATTATATTTATGTGTTTACCTAAAGTTGCATAAAAGTTATTAAATAATCATTTATCATAAATATATGAACATTAAATTTTTTTTGTTTAATACAAGAAATGTAAACCCGATCGGTATTGCCTCAAAACATTCATTTTGTTTGTGCTATTTTTCTTTCCTGGGGTCGATGTTATAAAACTTTTTATAAACTTAAAATGCTACCGGTGTCACAGGAAATTTTGCTGCTAGGAAATTTCGCGGCTGCGGCTTAATTTCCTTGGAAAATCTGCTGCTCAGCTGCATTATATCCTAGGAAAAATTGCCGCTCGCAGGAAAATTTGCCGCTTTACATCTCTTTACCTTTCTTGATAAATATGGACGTTGAAGAATATAACAATCTTGTTGATTTAATTGTCAGAGGAATATACCCTCAAAGCATCGATAAGATTAACAAAGATGGGTTAAGAAGGAAGTCCAAAAGATATTTGGTAAAAAATGGCCTACTTTTTTACTACGATAAAAAAAGAAACATGGATCTGCTAGTTGTTCTAACAAGTCAAAAAACTATGATTCTCGAAGGCTGTCATTCTGCAATTCTTGGTGGTGGTCACTTTGGTCGAGATAAAACATTAGAAAAATCTCAGAGAGGTACTACTGGAAAGGGATGGTAAATGATGTGAGGAGTTTTTGTAAATATTGTGATAAATGTCAAAGAGCAAACAGGTATGTTTGTTAAATAACTTACTTTTTATATACTAAAAAAATTAAGTTTAAAAAATTATTATTTAATAATTACTAAAAACAATAACAACAATTATAATTGTAATTAATAAAACTACAGGTGTTATTAATAATCCTTATAGGTATTATTAATAATAACTTAGAGATAATATATTATCTAAACATACTTGTAAAAAAATGTATTATCTAAGAAAAATATTATCTGAGTAATAACAAAAGTATTACCTAAGTAATAACAAAAATTAAACATAATTTAAAAAAAATTTTCAAATAATATAAATTGATAAATACTTATTTAACTAAAATTATAATTTGTAACTAACCTTAAAATATGCTTAAATTCTATTATTTCTTTCATAATATACTTTTTAGAGCATTTGAAAAACACTCAGCTGAACTACATCCTATTAAAGTTAAAGATGAAGTTTGGAGTACAGTTTTAATTTTTATTTTAAATTAATTTAATTGGACCTCTTCCTTTAACAGATAAAGGAATAAATACATCATTACAGCAACCTGTTTATTTTCCAAGTGGCCTGAAGCTGCTTCCTTATCTAATAAAACAGCTACAAGTGCAGCAGAGTTCTTGTATACATGCTTTACGAGACATGGTTGTTGTGAAGTTCAGATAAGTGATCAAGGAAGAGAGTTTGTTAATGAGGTACTGTTGGATTTTTGTTTATTTAATTGTCTTTTTTTTTTTTTTTTGTTAATTTTTAGTTTTCATTACTTTTTTGGAAAAAGCTCTATTTTTTGTATAACTTTCATGGTTCTAAATTTTGATAAGTTGATATATCATAATTGGATGTGAAGAGTGAATAAAGAATAAGTCAGAATTTTTACAACTTTAGAACTTGTTCATTTAAATTGATAAAAATTTTTTGTAAACTTTGCCAATATTTTGCGCAACAAAAATGTTTTATGCTAAAACTTGCTAAACTTAATTCTTTTAATAACTAATTTTTATTTATTGAGTTATGTTATAATTGCTTATTATTTAATACAAACCCTATACGAGCATTTTTTACAGGCCATTTTATAATGGGTCTATTTTCTTATATTATTAATATTTTTTTATTTGTTTAGGTAAACCATGAATTAAATAAAATGATGGGCACAAAGTGCAATGTTACAAGTGCCTACCACCCACAGAGCAACGGTGAAGATGAAAGGTTCAATCAAACTCTTAAGCGTCAACTTTTGAAATATGTTGATGAAAAGCAAAACACGTGGGATTTATACATTGAAAGCATTTTGTTTTCATATCGTGTCTCTGTTCAAGACTCTACTAAACAAACCCCATTTTATCTAGTTTACGGGAGACAAGCTAGGCTT